ATTGCGACCATATATTATCGATCTGGGTTCGCCGGTAGAACAAAAACAAAAACAACTCCATTCTCAACAAGTACTGATATTGTATCGTGGGCAGATTATACCAACATAGGAGTTTGAAAAATTCTAACAAAGTGTTGATATTCTGATATCAACAAACGGATTCTTTTCGACTTCAAGAGACCTCAATGTAGCATTAAGTTTCGTTGCTGGTAGTAGTAATACAGATGAAAGTAGAACCGTTCTATTTGAAATTACAGCTGATCCTCAATCTGGAATCAGTTATTTTTGCTGACATTGAGAAATATAGTCGAATGAAAGATGAAAAAGAAGTTTTGTTCAGTGTGGGAATTGTATTCATCATTACACAAGTATACTATGAGTCATTGATGAATCTATGGAAAGTCCAAATAACAGCAACGAATGAAGAATCAAATCAAGTAAATAAATATTTGAAGACAATACGAAAACAAATGGATGAAGAATATAGTCCATCTATTTTATTCGGCTTTCTTCTTTGGGGAGATATTGGAGAAGATGATAAAACTGAGAAATATGTTTTGAAATCATTATCAAACGATGATGAAGATATACCGTCTATTTATCATCAAGGAGGAAATATATTTTTCGAAAAAGGTGAATTGAATATGGCATTAGAGTTTTATACCCAAGCGTATAATTTGCGTTCTCAACGTTTACCTTCTGATCATCCTCATATTGCTGCATCATTAAACAATACCGGTCTCTAGTTCATGAAGAGAAACAAAATTTTGATCAAGCTTTAGATTATTATAAACAGACACTTGCTATTCATGAAAAATCCTTCAGATGATCATTTGAGTAAAGCAAAGTCAATAATGAATACTGGTATAGTATTTCGAAGAAAGAAAGAGTATGAAAATGCATTAGAACATTTAACAAAAGCTCTTGATATGTATTAACGTGCACTACCCAAACATCATCATTCAATTGCTCGATGTTTATCTAATATTGGTCTTCTCTATGAAGATCAATTAAATTTCGATCGTGCACTTGTATTCTATCATCAAACGTATGAAATGAACGAAAAAGTATTATCTAATGAACACAAAAGATCTCCACAGAATTGTTGGTATTTATAAGAAGAATGGCAAATATGAAACAGCTACGACTTTTTGTAATAAAAAGTTAGTTGAACAACGAGCAAATTTACCAGAAAATCATCCTCGAATTGGACATACATTGAAAACCATCGGTGATGTCTACAGTGAAACGAATGGTAGTCAAGCACTTGAATACTATCGTGAAGCACTAACAATATTTGAAAATTGTATACCATCTGACCAGAAAGCTATAATTGATTGTTTAGAACATATTAGTAATTTATACTATAACCAAGGTTTTTATAATGATGTATTAAAATGTCGAACTCATGCACCAGATATACAACAAATACTTTGTACATTTCAAAATCCAATTATTGGATTATCGTTAGAATGGCGTGGTGGAATTTATTCTGATATGAAAAATTATTCACAGGCACTTGAATATTTCAAGAGAACACTTGCAATTTATCAGGCAAATTACATTGCTGAATATAAGAGGATTAAAGACATCCAACAGTTCATCATTGAAACAGAAAACAAATTAAATGAAACAATTGAATCTATATATTAAATTGGTCGTTGCTAAGAAAAGGCGAAAAGTAATGATAAAGAACATTGAGCAGAGCAAAACGACAATAAAAATTGATGATGCTAGCACATCCATCAATTAAAACAGAGAAAGTAATAAAATCTCCTGTTATTGAAGCTCTTTCAGAGTCAAAATGCGAAACTGGAACAGACAGAATTGCTTTTCCCTATCATTAATTCATGTATGAAAAATTGTAGTATGAAAATGTCTCTCAGACATGACAGCATTCGTATTCCTGTTGTCTATGTGAAAGGAAATGCAGTGGATCAGACTAATAAGAGTAGCTCGGTCTTGATCGGTCGATAACGCTTCTTTAGTTGTACTCATGGATGGAAGACTCACAAATTATTCTAAGCTTGAACCATCATTTTCTAGTCGTGTTTTACAGAAAATAGACCCTACTCGGAAAATCATCAACATCAGGAAAAGCGAATATCAAGAAGCACTTGTTATAAAATCCAAAATTGTTCACCCGATAAAGTATCAGATGAACTGAACCCATTTAACAATAGGCTGTAACATGTATTAGAAAATTCGTTTTTAATAAGAAGCCATACTTTAAGAAAGTCTAGGCTGCGGAGGTGGTGGAATCAACTGAAACTGGACACCAGAGATGTAATCTGCACCGGCAATCGGTCGATCCGGCCGAAAGAAAATTAATTTGACCGTCGAGAAAAAAAATGTTTTTTCTGTCTGAAAAATCAGTACTTTGTCGAAAACGAATTTGCTGAGCTAAGTAAAACAAAGCTTTTCATATTTCAGATTACGCCAGTTT